AAGATTTTAAAGGGATTATCATCATTTGGGATAAAGTGGATTCAAGTTTGTATTGACCAACGAACTAGATTATCTTGCAAATTGTTGTGACAGCATTTTCTAAACATGGTATTTCAAGTGATCACTGGTATAATTATGTTGGCGAAAACAAGTAATCCACGTTATATAGATATTTTAAAGTCCTGTTTTAAAGCGTTTTAATCAAAAGACGTTTAAAAATAAACAATTATCAGATCGAGAACATTGATTTGTCTGATATTGGGGATTGAAGAAATACTTTGATAAAAATAATTGATATTCAGTGTAAATATTTTACATCCTTCGTATGTATATAATGCCTACTATAATTCATAACTGCAATTGTTGCTGATAATAATGCCTATAATGATTCGTACAAATCTAATATCCAGAGAGAGAAAATTTAAGATATGAACACCCAGAGCCAATGATGACCAGGAATAGGAAATTCTATTGTTATTCAGAATGTTGGTATATATAAGTTAGATTTTTATCCCCTTCGATTTCCATAGCTTTGGATATACCTGGGAGCCACATTCGCATTGATAAATAAATTCAAACTTCACTCAAGCATGCTCTTTCTTCCTGCGAAGTTCACTGCTATCACATATTATCAAGACTGACACTGTTTGTCAATTATTTCTCTTCATTTCTGAACCGTTCTCATGCGTAGATTCACTAGCAAACCAATTAGTGCCCTTAACATAATTTAATTCTGAATTTCCAATCAATATGGTTAGAATTGCTGTTTTTATCAATCGATAATAATGTTTTGATTATTTATAATAAATTATCACTGTTTATGTTAAAAAGTCCATAATATAATCTAAACAGAAAATAATATAGTTCAGTACATATTATGTTTAAATAATCTTGTAATCACAAACAGTGAAGAGACTACAATATAGGCTGGCGTACTAACTATCAGATAATATGTTTGGAAAAAAAAACGTATGAGGTGATATTTACCTTTTATCCCACAACTTACACTTACGAACCATAAATTGCCATACTATAAGTGACTATCTGTAATTTTTGGGAAATAAACATTGAATGAATGGCTTACGTCATTTGTTACAATAAAACGTTGACTTCTGACTTGACAAGAAATAATGATACGGAAGCATTGTTTTCAATGTTGAATAACCGAAACAGAACAATTGTAACGTTTGACAATTATCTGTAACCACTTCCTTTCGTCAAACGAACGAATATAGTTGAAATGTAATAACAATTCTCAGTTGAGTGGTTGTTATTTGTAAAAAAATAAGATTTTATTCTTTTATTCTTATACACAATTTATTAAGCGTCCATAGGACATTATGAAGTAATTTTTTTCACTGTGTAAGGATAAGACATATATGATATTTCGCAGTAAACTTCATACAGTTTTAAACAATTTGAAGCAAATTAAATGAAGTTGGATGATGCTGACCAACAAAGCGTGCTCATAATCTCAGGAAAATAGGTTAAGAAACACTTTACTTGAGGTTAGTAGCAGTATTATGGAAACATATAGGATCAGATCAGTTTATTCAGTCTGTAACGGTGGAAGAGATTCTTTGATTCTTAATATAACTTTCATTGCAATCAGATATCGGCTACATCCAAATCGGTAAGAATCTATGGTGGTGGTATGATAGTCACTTCATTAGTTCACGATATTTACATCTGTATTGATTCTTGTTATAGTATGTTGAATGAAGATTGTGTATGCTGTTGGATGCTTTTAACTGCTAGAAATTTTGTTGATATTGGTTATCTTGCTGTTTGCATGAATCTTAGAATACCATCACTTTGAGTGTGTAAATTAACTAAATCCATCAAAAGAGTTTCATATTTTATGACTAACATTTTCATGGATTCTCAAGCATGTTATATATGGGTTTTGAAAATATATTTACGAAAAACTATTAATCATTGGGTTATTTGTGCTATTGAAATTGCCTAATATAATAAAATTGTCTTGAATATTTTTTCGTTGCATACAAAATGGTTAGATCAAATCGATAGACAATGGACATGTTACTAATTTTACTGAAAAAACTGTCGAAATGATCAGTTAGTAAGCTTATTTAGATCAAATGTGAGATGTTCATTCTTTACCAAAAACGCATTGATGCGATACCAGATACATACACACTGGTGTCAGGCGTGTTTGCTTACTCTGACTCTTTCTCTTTCTCCTGGTGGTCAGCAGTATTATAAGGTTGTCAACATCTGGGGAGAAGCATGAGACACACTGGTCAGCTCAGATGCAGCTTGACTATCAGGACTTCACAAATGATCTAGCTTTTTTATCCTGAAATCTACAACAAATGCAGATGAAGACAGCCCATGTTGCAGCAGCCTCTGTAGCAGGATATTCCGATACAACACAACACGAATCAACCAAACCACACTTGATAGAGAAGCTCTGAAAGATGTAGAAACGTTTCCACATGTGAGCAGCATCCTTTGTGAACAAAATGGATCTGATGCGCACGTAGTAAGATGGATTAGCAAAGCAAGGATAGCATATCTAGAACTGAAGAGCATTTGAAACTCAAAACAACTATGAACCAACTCGAAAGTCAGACAGTTCTGTTTTATGAGGAGGAGACTTGCAGAACCAACAAAGTCATCATCCACGAGATACATGTGTTTATGAACAGATTTCTACACAAGATACTGTGGATCGGTCGGCCAGACACCTTCAAAACCCCCTACTTTGGGAGAGAACAAAGCAGGTTCCAGCTGAGGAAGAAATTAGGAAACGGTGATAAATATGAGTAGAACAGACATTATGGAAATCCTTTAACTGGGTCACAATGCAAGCGCTAACTTGAAACCTCCAAGGTCAAATGAAAAAATTTAGACCAAAGAGCAAATTACGCGAATGAACAACAATCGATTAGAACTAGAAAGGAAGGAAAGCCCAGGATAGATTAGGTTGAAAAATGCTGGTTGGCCTCCAATGCTTAATCTAGGGGTAGCAGATGTATTTACGTAACTACAATTTCATCAATCAAGCCTTACAAAGTTCTGAATAAATTCAACGTGCTGTGATTGAAGTATTTAAAGTCAACCACTCTGTTTACCATCATTCAAACCATTTACCTGAACTAACGTTTACTATCTAAGCTTCAAGATCTCTATGTTTATTATATTGGTTGTCTACGATTATATATATGCATATATACTTATGTTTTATTTGACCACGTGTAATTTGCTGCTCATTTATCTTTGTACTCATGAGAAACAGGTTCAATTGGCAATCTATTATTTACTGTCTAAAGTTTCAAGTTCATATAGCAATAACACTGTATAATTTGGAAATTTTTATATGTATTCATAGATTTATGAGTATGCAACTTGAGTTAAAAGTTGTTTAAAACGTATGCTGACATAAATATGCTCAGTTACAATATAATCAATAGTTTTGGAAAAACCGACTTGTGAAATCATAATGGCTCAATAAATAATTAAATTTCGTTTGAATTTAGTCAGATTTGTAACGAATTCCACACATACATCTTTACAAAATCGTATACTGATGCAAACCGTATAAACAGGTACATATACTAAAAATTTAGATGAGTTTAAGAAAAAGACAGACAAATATCGACTTGACAAAAACATGATATCCAAATGTGTTTGTAAATGATATTGTACTTTTCTACATTTTCATTAATCAACTTAGTTAGTGTTCAGTATGGTATTATTTCGTCGTTGTTTTATAGTACTTTCTACACTGCTTCATATTTATAAGTACATTTAGAGTAATATTCGGCCAATTATTAAGCTGGATACTATGATACACATTTTTTTCTGATCAGCTTCTATCAGCTATTTGATTTGTGATTTGATTAAAATGAAACAGTCAGTAGCAACGTGTTACAAATGTTCAAAGGTGTTCTCGCTTTCGAAACATGTTTAAGTTTACAAACTTATTAGATTAGTGTGAAGAATTAGAATTCGTATTTCAAATTAGAAGTTATGATTCGGCATTGACGTCAGGGTTTTCATCATGAAACAAACATCAGCTATTGTGCCAAAATGTTATTTAACTATACGAATAGATGAATTTTGTACCAAAATACAAGAACCTGTTAACATACATTTCATTGGTTCGTCCATAAATTATAATTTTTCCAAGTATTTGATGAACTATAGTTTCCTTAACTTACTGAGTATTATATTTGTCTTGAACATTGGTTTCTCTCTACGACTTAGTGGTTAATCATAAGAATTAATTCTTAATCTCAACTAATAATCAATATATGTGTGCGTATTTTTCTTCTTATCATTAAAAGCATTCATCCGAATTCGGTGCTCTTACTTCTTTGAGTAATTTCAACTCCAGAACTACAACAACAGTAACTACTCAAATAAATATGGATATTCATCAAAATCAATCAGTTGGTTCTGCACAAAAATTTCCAACTACTTATAAACTAACACCATATTCATCCTATTTAGGATATGATATACGATCACCACATACATCACAATTACATTCTATGACTACTTCTCAACAAGCAGAACACCTCAAATATAATAATCAAGAAATAATGATTCCTGTAACCAGGTATACAAATGATCAAAATGTAATTTTTTCAACTGGAACTGTTCAATTACCGACTGCGTCAAATTTTCATGATTTAGATAGGTAAGTTTATTTTCAACGAAATAATTAAATAGTTTTACTATTATTTTTGGTTTTTTTTTTGGTGATAATAAAAAAGTAAAACTATTTCAAATTTTCTCATATTTTCTAAGAGTTGTCTAAAATCTTTCCATTTCTCTAATTTATAAAGGAGATCTGTACAAAATGATCTTTCTATGAATGCATACAAGGACTCAGTTGCAACAACAAAATTATTCAATACACCAGATGATTTTGGGATGAATGAACATCAAGAAAATGGTCAAAGAGAAAATGAACGTAAACGATCTATTTTTGGAACATTAGGTCGTATATTCAAGAGACCAAATCCAGTAGGTGTAACAAATTCAGTGAATCAAATAGAAAGTACAATAAAATCAACTATATCAAACAGTCAGACACCATCAATGAGATTGTATACAAATCAATTAAGTCATCCATCTCGTCATCAGTATATGTATAATATTCCACAAGCAAACTTAGCCTATCGAACAGAAGAAAGAAATAGACTTGCTAATGTTGTATATTCCTCACAAGATTCAGGATTTCCGAATGTGACACATTTAAATCGTTCAATTATACCAAATAATTATTCTCAATATCATGTACAAGAAGGATCATCAAGATATAGTCCAAGACCACCATCACATCATAATTATTTTGGTAAAACAAAATTTGATATTTATTCTACAGATGTGAACATTAATCAAAAACAAAGTGCAGTACAACAGTCAATTGTATCGCATACAATAAATAATGGAATAAATTCTCAAGGTAATACTTTTATGCACTTGCACTTTATTCATTGAGATAAAATTTTTAAAGTTCACTTTTAAACGATTATACTTACTGATTCTTACAGCTTACCTTGTTAAAGTCAATCTGAGTGATAAACAATAAATGAGTATTACCTACATTCCGAATATTAGATAGGAGTAGAGTCAGTAATGAATGAACTTTTCAGTCTATTTCAGATTGGTTAAGTGGGCAGAGATTAAAGCCATGTATGAATGTACCCACGTCTTTAAAAGTCGGCAGTTGTAAACTATGAATTTTAGTAATTTTTTGACGTTAATTATTATTCGATACATTCTAAAATTTGTAACTAAAAGAATAGCATAAAGCCATCTGCCGATAGCGATGATTTAACTATCGCCAACCGACATGCTCCAAGATATAACCTTATCCTTATCGTCTGAATTTTCAGGACTAGACCTTTTACCTGCTGGCTCGCTTATTGACTTAGAATATGCCGATGACGTAGTCCTACATGGAGAAGACTCTGACAAAATGCAGAGTCTTCTGACTACCCTAAGCAACAATGCAAGCATGTTCGGGATGCGGTTCTCACCCTCGAAATGCAAAATGTTGCTTCAAGATTGGGTTGCATCGGCACCTGAACTAGTGATAGTTAGTGAAGAATTCGAACGTGTAGACCGCTTCACTTATCTTGGGAGTCTCATCAGTGCTGATGGCCTGGTGACTGACGAAATCTTAGCACGGATACAGAAGGCTCGAATGGCTTTTGCCAACCTGCGTCACTTATGGCACAGGCGAAATATCCGTTTGCTGACTAAAGGACGAGTCTACTGCGCAGTAGCTCGCTCCGTCTTACTTTATGGCTGTGAAACATAGCCAGTCAGAGTAGAAGATGGCAGATCCGTATATGAAGTATTGAAACTTCATCAGTTGAGGTGGTTTGGGCATGTGCTGCGTATGCCTAACCACCGACTGCCTCGTCGAGCTTTGTTTTGTAGTGTAGGAGTAGGTTGGAAGAAAGCTACGGACGACCAGACCAACATATGGCACAAATCCATGAAGTCATTGACAAGTGGACTGAGTCATATCGGTAGTTGTCGACTACCTGGTTAGGGTCCGCGAGATTACTGTGATCGATGGTTAGATACCCTGAATGACATGGCTCGAAATCGTTTGCAGAGACGCCGGTGCATTTATTTTTTGCGTTCTCTCAAATCCTAGTCTTCTGGATTCTTCACTCCCTCTAGTTTTGACATTCTAAACTTATCTCACTGAATCATACTTCTTGAATAATATCTTCTAATCCTAACCTCTCCGATTATTTCTAATACCTTAACTACCGTTTATACTATTGGATTTGAATTGACAATTATATCTCTGGGCTGATATGGTATAGGAACATGAACTGATGTACTTACATACGAAGTTCTACGTTACATCTGACTGACTGACTGACTGGATATCACCAACCAGGGGATCCAAAACAATCCATTTCATGACATAATATTGTTTAATCGTATCAAGTTTGCTTATATATTATAGGCAACATTCCTTTTCGATGAAAGAATCAATTTATTCTCTTTACGATTGAACTATGTCAGCACCTCTAGTGTTGATTTAATTGTTATCTAAAAAAACTAACAAAAATTAAAATTAATTCCAATAATTATTCTAACGACAAAAAAATGCTTCCTTAAATTATCGAGAGTAATATAAATACAATCGCATTGAATATTCAAATTACTGTACAAATGTTAAAGTGGATTATTTTCTTTTTCAAGTATGCTTTAAGAGTATTCATATTATTTTTTACAACATTAATGTGTTCATGAAATTTCATTTATTTTCAGACATTGTATTCCTTTTTTTTAATTTTAAATATCCTTTTTTTTATTACCTATCATTAAGCTGCTCTAGGTCCAAAACAAATTGTAGAGGACAGACAGAAATCTCAGTAAGTAAACATAGTAGTTATACACATAAGTGCATGTGTTTCAAATTAGTATGTACAATCATTATAATTTCTTTAACTGTTTAATAAGGACTTTCAATTGGCTTTTTTTAAAAAAACAATTTTCATCTTAAATTGAGTAATCAATTTACTTTGAACTAATATATGGTTTTTGTCCTAAAATCAAACTTTATCTAGATCAATCAAAAATTAGTTAAATTATTTTCAGCTATTTTAGTATAATTTATGTATCATGGATTATATATACATACTAAGATTATTTTTGAAATAAGTCATTACAATACAAGTTTCAAGTAAAATCTATTTGAAATTTGTCACAGGCACGTTGTCGTTGTTAGTATGTAGAGTGTTAGAAATGAAAATTTTACTGCTCTAAAACATTGTACTATATTTTGAAAGTTGTTGATAAACAGTATGTGCTGAGCAGTGTGTTCTAAGATTTCGTAATTTATTCGTTCTGACAATCGTTACTAAATAACGCCTGATGGTTTATAGATCAGAAGGTAAACATGAAGGGTCGAATACGTTTATTCTAGCACATCACAATTGGAACAGCAGACCACAGACATGCGAGTGCCTGAAAACAAGCGAATTAGCGAATGAGCGAATCGGCGAATTGAAGAATTAGCGAATGAAGTAAAGTGGAGAAGCCTAGTAAGCAAACTCAGCTAGATAATTTTCAGTTAGAGTTTTGGAAGTTTGTGTTTTTACACATTTGAAATCATCAATCAATCATTGTTAGACTACCATTAGAAACATGGAAGCACTGAAAGACGGCCGTTTCGTCCTGGTATGGGACTCATCAGCAGTGTGCATCCATGACTCCTGTACCTTGCAGGATCTAAACCCGGTGCCTTCGGTATTATGTGCGAACGCCTAACGACTAAACTACTGGGCCGGCATCGAACTGTGGTAATGTCTAACTCTGATTGATCTAGGGATTTTGCGTGACCTCACCCATTTGTCTTTGGTAATTACTGCCTACACCCGGCAGGGTTGAACTACATTGGTCACGTCTTCTCAACTAGAACTCCAAGAAACATTCACAATGGCATCATGCACACTAAAGCTTCATGATAGAAGAATATCCTGATGTAGAAACTTATTCATAGCATTAAATAGACTAATCTATATAACAGATAAGATTGATTTATATCCATGATTATATCATTAAACTGTTTATCAAATCTTGACATTGTAGTTAATCAAAACGTTTGAATTTATCTATATTAACTTATTTTAAAAATTTTTATGATATTTTGACACAAGCAAGTGAAGTAAGAATACACTTCTGAAATATTTCTCTTCATAACCAATGCATGTTGTGTAAATGAGATCTAAAAATGATTTTCTATGTCTACTGAATACATACTTTCTTAAAATCTTACTTAAAAATACTTTCAATCGACGTAGTGCTTGTATCAATAATTTCCAGTTGTTTTTTTTAAAATTAAATCCATGCATTTGGAGATTTTAATTGTCATTCATTCTAATAAATGCTTTTTATTTGAATTAAATTAATTATACTCACAATTAATCTGTTTACCTTTTGAAATCAATATTATCAGTGTTTCGTTATTCACTTTCAGATAATAATTTAGCTAACAAAAAAATAGTTCTGTTCTTTATTTTGATCACCAAGTATGTCAGTTTATAGACATGAACCTATTTATGACAAAAAATCAATATCCCTGTTCAAACTGATATTTTGTTCCTTTACAGATAGATGATTAGAATGTTAAAAATTAAATGACCCAATTAAACAGTCCTATGAATTGAGTTTTTAAACTCAGACAAAAGCATATACACATAATATTATAATTTTACAAAAATGTATTCACTGAATAATACATTCCATTTGTCGAATTAATGCTACTGTCTTGTTTTATCTGTTTTAATTATACTCTTTTCGTTTTCTACTAAATAGAAAATTATTACTTGAAGATGCTATACGCAGTAATTTACCATTTACTTCATGGAGTAGTCCAATATTAGTTGCATGGTTAAAAGTAAGTAAATCATTTTTTTTAAATGTAACATTATATATTATTTGGGAATAAACATTTTCATTTATCAGTGTGTTTTGTCAAAAAAATTTATACAGTCCGACAAAGATTCTCAACATGAACTGACATCCTTTAAATTCAGAATGTGTTCAATGCTGTTTTGTATACAAAATCATAAGAAAGATTATTCATAATATTAATATAACTAAAATATCTGTCTTTGTTTAACATCATTTCTGTTTTAAAAAAAAATATAAGAAAATATTTCTGATGTCAAAAAACACTTTATCGAGTTAAATAACTAATTCTTGAATACAAACATATTTCAGATGTATTCAGTTCATTATCCACTGTGCTGAAAATCGCTAGACCAGTACAATACAATAAAAAAAAACATTGTGATCAACTCATATTTCAGTATTTGTCATATTGAATTTTTTAAAATTTCATCACTGTTATTAATATCAATCTAGGCCGTGATAAATGTTTTTATTTTGGATTTTATTCATGGGCTGATCAGTTGACCTTGAGAGCAGACTTCCCACCAGGAAGATGCTTGGCTATGATTGGTTAATGTGTTGTTTTAGTATGGTACTTTTGTGATTCCCTCAAGGATGTTTCTGTGATGTATAAATAAATGCGATTTGTGTGCTTGAGATCATAAAGTTTGCTGTGTTTGTAGAATACACTTTTTACACCATATCAAGTCTTTTTCTTCAGTTAGTTGGGGCAACGGATCAGAGTAGCCTACTGTGTCACTGGTTCAGTGTCTTGTTCTCATTTATCGAGAGAGGTGAACTCGTAATAGTTTCAAGCATATCAAGTGACGAGCATAACACACTGTTATTAACATCTGTCTACGCGTGATTACAATGTTATCTTTGATATGTTATTACTTCTAATCACCTAAATGACTTTTGCTAATTAATTTAAATTTTGATATCAAACTTAAATGACTTAGTTTCCGACGTTAATCGATTAAGTTTTTAAAATAAATCCCACACGTTTTACATACAAATATCTTGCAAACATACATGTTATGCTCTATCTCAATACTTAAAGTAAACCTTGTGAACATAAGATTATTTATTTCTAGACCTTTCATTAACAACAGAAAAATGAAGAGAAATATGATACAATAATCACAGAAAAATAACTCATTCATTCATTTGATTTGGCAATATTCAATTTTAAATTATTCATAGTTTTAAAAAAAAAACAGTAATATTTGAAAGATACTGAGAATTAAAAAAAATTCTTTTATCAATAGTATCTAAAATCTCTTTCTGTCTAATTCATTTGTATTAATAAACAATCAGATCGATGACTTTTCGTATCATTATTTATTGATAATGAAATTATTACGTTTGAATGAAGTAACTTTCAAAAATCAATTATTTATCTTACTTCATTTAAAAAAAGCATTTAGTTTTTGACATAAACTCAAGCTTGTGATATTCCTTTCTTCTCGAAATCCTTTTATGATCTTGATAAGGCAGTCACTTATTCTGGTGTATTTTTTAAAAAAAAATGGCTTACAAACAAAATGCATTACTTCTGTTTATTGAAGAAGAAATTAAGTAAAATGAAACAAGACAAACATATGATAAGACTTAATTTATAGATTTGACAAAATGCTCAAATGTTAGTTAAGCTTAGATTTACCAGTGCTGAACATTAGTTTGTCATCCATTGTACCTTTTCAGACACACTGATCATTGTTACTGCTGAATCTTGATGCGAAGAAAACAACTTTTTTAACTGTCTATTGTTTTTTTAAGATTACTTAAAACTGAATGATTCCCTCTTCAGTGTGCACACTGTCTAAAAAAACAGGTGAAAAATTTATTCACAAGGCACTTTCAACGTATTCGGGCCACTGATAGAAATAAGTCTGTTGTGTTAGTTTGCTGCATTGCCTAATCACACTATTACTCGTCAAATTTGTCATGATGTTCTGGGAACAGCTTTGATGGATGTGGGCGATGGTATTTGATATGCTTGAATGCTATTACGAGTTCACTTTACTCGGTAACCGGAACGAAGATCAAGGATACCCTATTATAATTCAGTCGTCCCCGGCCCTGCTGACTAGAGGAAGAATTCTTGATAAGGAGTAGAGAATGTATTTCAAATAAATACATCATTAAGAACCATTGAAAAACATTACTTGAATGTTGAAAAATTCACACGGATATATGACAGAATGCATAAACAACACAACGAATAAATTCTCTTATTCATTTTATTTGGCATAAGCTAGTTTCATTTTTTTAAATATATACATATATACAACCAAATTAAATTTTCTATAACTCCTTTATAACCATAATTATTTAGTTATGGGTTGGAATGCCAGCATGGTATGTTGCAGCATGTGAAGCAAATATTAAATCTGGTGCAATGCTTGCTTCATTATCGGAACAAGATATTCAACGTGAATTAGGCATACGAAATCCATTGCATCGTTTAAAACTTCGTTTAGCAGTTAATGAAATGCTTGCGTTCACTGCATCACTGACAAATACAACAACACAAAATCTCATTAAAAAAACCACTGAATCATCATCAACATCTTTTTCGAAACAGTTACACTTGGCTTCTCCATTGATCAAGGTAAACTGATTGAAATCGTTTGTTTTTTTTCATTTGACTATTATTTATTTCTTTGAATGTATTATACAATGATATATTGAAATATTTCAGATTGGCATTAAAATCTTACGTAATTTCAAATGAGGTTATATAATTAACGACAATTGTTTTTCGTCATATTTTTGTGTTTTATGGCGAAAAAAATAACATATGCACCTAGATATATTAAGCGGTTGTTTCGATGAGACTTTTATCAGTTACTATTTCTAAATATTTGTTTTCACACATTTAAGATATATTGTTAGGGATAAAGAAAGGGTAACTGCAACCGTTTTTATACATTAAAATCACCAATCAATTATTGTTAGACAACTATTAGAAACTTGGAAGCACTGGACGGCCGCTTCATTATGGTATGGAACTCAGCAGCAGTGCTCATCCACGACTCCTCTACCTTGCAGGATTCGGAAACAGGACCTTTAGTATTGTGCTTAAAAGCCTAACCTCTGGACCACTGGGCCAGCATCCAATATTGTGAATATCTAATTCTGATTGATCTAAACACTGCGTGACCTCACCCATTTCTTTTTGGTACTTACTTCATACACCCGACAGGGTGGTCTAACAATGATTGATTGAAAAGTCGTTTATATGTCATCCGATTGGACAGATCCAGAATTATTTCAGCTTATGACTTACATCTACTACTCCATATTACATCAGTTCTTATATCAATCAATAGCAACGTAAAACTTCATACGCACATACATCAGTTCATGTTGCCATACCACGTTAGCACAGAGATGTAATCGTCAGTTCAAATCCAATAGTAGTAGAGGTAGTAAATGTATTAGAAGTAATCGGAGAGGTTAGGATTAGAAGGTATTATTCAAGAAGTAGAATCTTATGAAAAAGACTTTAAAAAGACAAAAATAAAGTGATGAAGAATTAAAAAGTTTAGGTTTTGAGAGAACACCAAGAATGGATGCACCTGCGCCATTGCAAACTATTTTGAACCATGTCATTCAGGGTCTCTAAGCATCAATTACTATCATCTCGCGGATCCCAACCAGGTAGCCGACACCTACCAACACGACTTAGTTCACTTGTCAGTCACTTCATGGATTTGTGCCATGTTTTGGTCTGGCCGCCCCGAACTTTGCTCCAACCTATTCCTACACCGCAAAATATAGCTCGATTAAGCAGTCAGTGGTTAGGCATAAGCAGCACATGTCCAAACCACCTCAAATGATGAAGTCTCAATATTTCATCTATTGATCCGCGGTCCCTACCTAGTACTCGTTTCCTAACAGGAGCATTGCTCACTCGGTTGTCCCACAAGTTCTTACATCAGAAATCACTTTATCGTTATAATTTAGAATATATGATATGCTCGCCAATTGATATGCTTGAATGCTATTACGTGTTCACCTTACTCGGTTAACGGAACCAAGGCAATGATGCAGTGACACGTTAGGCTATTTTTACCTGTTTGTCCCCAGCCCTGTTAACTAGAGCAAGAAGTCTTGGTAAGGCGTAAAAAGTGTACACAAATCGTGCTTATTGTAATACATGATAGAAACGCCCTTGGGGGAGCCACAAAATAGCGAACTAAAATAATCCATTAACCAATGACACTCAAGGATTTTCCGAGTGGGAAATGTGAGCTGAAGGTCAACTGGAGCGAAAACATGGAAATTCAAAATTTCAAAATAAAATTACAAAATTAGGACCTCTCCAAGTGAGTTTTGGGAATCTAACGCCTCCAACAATACGTAATTGACTCTGAACACTCTGATCATTTTGTACATCTTTCAAGTTAAAATGGCCTAATACATTTAAACAATAGTTATTGAATGTGATTTTTATCTTCACTCGCCAGTAGTAATTTTAAGTGACATTATATAATAAATTCCTAATCTGACTGACAATTTTCGTCTTGTAATAATCATTTGCTCATTTACTGTTTATTCTACATCAATAATTGATATTCGAATGCTGACTTCAATAAAAACCCCGTAGAGTTTGACCTTGATAAAACTGATCAGGCTTGTTTCCTACATCACCTGTATAATCGATCAATATTTGAAAAATAATTTTGTAAAAATGGTTTATTTTATTTTAGTTTATTCATTATACTCTAGGTGGGGATGGTTTACTCTACCAGTATTAAGTACTTTTGTTTAAATTGTGTCAGATTTTACAGTATAATGATCGCATTAAACAAAAGTTAATAAGTTAAGAGATTTTAGTCTTGCCGTGAAGTTCTTATTCATGTGACAAAAAAATCATCTTAAATATTAAAAATTGTCTATATTTGTCTATTTTGTAGTAATTACTATAATATTTATTGATAAATAGTCAAAAATGATACTTTATTTTTTTTTAACTCTAAGAAAATTCCTTTTTCTCTTTTGTTAAGTTATCATTTTATCAAAGAGATAAGTAATTTCAACTATTCCTAAAAAAAAATAAGAGTTCCAACAAAACGTCTACATAAGTATCGGCTCAACAATAGCAATATTATCAAGATAGATTTATGAAACTTCTCTCAACCCTAACCCTGCCTATCTCGAATAAATAGTTAACCGTTTTTTAACTATGAAATAAAATAAAAATCACGTTGCTTTAAATTTCATTGGTTAATTTATTATAACTAATCAAAATTAGATGGGAAATTACATAAATAAGAAAAGAAAAGTAGGTGGTTGAATAATATTTATTATTTGCCATTCAACCATACATAGTATACTTTGAATGAGTTTCTGACTTGTGTGGCTAGGTATTGTTAATATCTGTTTAGTTCTCGGTTTCTTCAAATTTTAATGGGGACACCGTTGTCTCAAAACTAGATACTTATGCATGCTTCTTTTATTCCTGCAATCAAAAATGCACCGTATAATTTCTTAACTACTTGAAAAAACCATTACTATGCATCCTTTATCTTTGTTAGTTCAGAAATTCTTCTTCACTCATTTAATTCTTTGATAAATTAGAACGTAAACATTTTGCCGATTGAGTAATACAACTTGTCTTCTCAGAGGTAACGTTTAAGTTTTCACCCCTTTTCATATTTCTTTTTCACGTTTTAGATAAGTTTGCATATTTAGCATCGACTAGATTTGATATGCGATGAATGACAATAATTATTATGTACTGTGATTCTAAATAGTTTATCTTCAATCTATCAGTATTTCATGATATTTTTGGTACAATTTACTTCAGAAAAGAAATACTCAATGTAGCAATTAGTCAGTATTGAAAAAACAGGCTTCAAATGGAATAAATGGATATTGAGTCAGGGTAACTAATGTTTAGTTTTTATACAAAACTATGATAATGACACTGATAAGTTGTCAGTTTGACTCTTGCGAAAGAAGGTGTATTCAACCAATTTGGAAAAATCAACTGTCATGAAAATAGTTTAACTTGATAATGAACAACTCATTCTGTTTTCAATCTCAATCTGTTTTCTCATATATATATCACTAAATAAAATAATTAATTAATTCTCAACACGTTGTATCACTGAAAATTAATAACGTTTGAATATTATTGCTACTAAATAAATAGATTTCAATCAACTTTTTATCAATCAGAATTCCTCAGCATACACCTGTAAGATGTCGGATTCAGTTTAGTGATTGAGTAATCGATATTTTTTGAACCCACAAATATTTTACACACAACACTAGCTAAAACATAGTCCATACTGAGTGATTAGGTCTCCTGGATCAATTGAATTGCCAGGATACATAATTTCGACAAAATGTGTTCTTAACAGCTTGCTTGGCGGCTATCTTCTACGGCTCAAATATGATTATCACATTCATTTCAATAAACATTCAATGTCTGTGTCACATAACCAATTTCATTTTCTACTTTATATCAGTAAATAAGCTCGGATTTCATAATTTATTCTGTCTGTTTTTAATAGGAAAAAAAAGACTATGAATTTATTAACTATTTCTAGTAAACAAACTGTTCAAATAAATTGTCTGAAAAGTAATTTCCTTCTATCGAATTATGCAAATTGGGAATTAAAATATTTAATTTCGCTTAAATAAATAGTGCAAAGAAATATGCGCCATTTAACCCGAAACGTTTTTAAAACCACTATAACTCATTAAATTATAAAAAATTTCACATTCAGTAAACATTTTGAAAAAAATTCTAAATCCTTAAATAACAACTAAGTAATAAATACATAAACTGAAATCATAATTTATTATGTATTTGAAAGATTTAATTAGTGAAGTTCATGTGTTTGAAACAATTGTGAAATCGGAAGAATCATTGTTAGACCACCATCAGAAACCTGGAAGTACTGGACGGCCGTTTCGTCCTGGTATGGAACTCATCAGCAGTGAGCATCCACGACTCCTTCATCTCGCAGGATTCGAACCTAGGACTATACGTCTGGCTCGTGAACGCCTAACCATCGGACCACTGTGCCGGCATCCAACGGTGTTAATGGTCCGATGGTCAGACGTCCGCGCACAATACCAAAGGTCCCAGGTTCGAATCCTGCGAGGTGCAGGAGATGTGGATGCGCACTGCTTCCGAGTCCCATACCAGGACGAAACGGCCGTCCAGTGCCTCCAGGTTACTAATGGTGGTCTAACAATGATTGATTGATAATTTCAAATGTGTAAAAACACAAACCTCCAAAACTCTGCCTGAAAATAGGAAGAAATTAGATTACAAAATAAATGCTTTTTTTTCTGAATTATTACTATTGTAATTTGTTCATGCAATCGAATGTAATCATTGAACACATAATGTTGACTTCACAATTCAACTAGATTGTTTTGCAAGAAACATTTTCCGATGTGACCATTTTTTCAGAAATAGTTTACTTTTCAATCAATTTTGCAGTCCAATTCAAATACATTTATGGCGTATAATTTTGAAATGTACACCTTATATTATTATCATTATTATTATTATTATTAGAAAAGCTGGTAGAAAATTAACCGATTATTAGTTGACTATGAATTGTACAAATTTATGTATGACAAAAATAATATTTGTCATAAGTTAAACAAAACTATAACTTATATATTTGTGGAAAACATGATTTTTTTTCTTAAAAAAATACCCCAATGTATCTAGTTGACGTAAATTATTTTGACACAAATATTAAGAATTTAAAGTAAGTTACACAGTGATCTGAAAATATCGAGAAAGCAAATCAGTTTAAATTTTTATAAAGACAGACATTACTACTTAAGTGTTTCAAGGAAGTTTTTTTTTGTTGGTTGAAATGACATTTTAAGCTGTAATGATTAATGTCTATAACACTATTTCAATATAAGTCATCATATTTGTATACAGAATTTCATTTTACGCCAACTAATAAGTGAAGTCATTCTAATAGGAACAGTCATTATTGATATGGTTTCAATGAAAGTTAGTGAATATTATTTTGAATTATATGATGGGTATACATCTGATTGGGTTTGATAATAATTAAATTTAAAGTTACCTGCCAAAAGTTCTGAATCACCTTGCATTCAATATTTCATTTGTAAATAGTACAAGTTAGTAAATGACTCTTTTCTGTTTTTGTTAAGATAAGCTTAGTTTTTTTTTCTTTTGTTTCTGGAAATTTCCTTTTGACTAAATAGGGTGAATTAAATCATGAATGGATTGGTAATGTTTGGTTGCCCAGTCTTGGATTAATTCGATACAGATCAGCATTTATGGAATGTCTTGTCGATGCACGTATGTTAAGTCATTTAACTAAACGTGATTTGAGGATACATTTAAAAATGGTTGATCAATTTCATCGATTAAGTTTATACTATGGAATTATGTGTCTTAAACGCTTGGATTATGATCGTTCTGAGATTGAACGTCGACGTGATGCATGTCAAAATAGTTTAGATGGTAAGTCATACAAGTAGATAAATTTAAAACTGTTAAATTTTTATGATTTCAGAAATGTTTACATACAGTATACCTAATCAATAGTAAGTAAGTAAGCTATATTACGTAACTGCTTACAAGGAAAATTATGCATTAAATTGTTGTTATCATCCACTGAGTTGTTAAGAGTGCATGATGACTTAAGATTATGTCCTCTCTCGCCTTCTCCAACTGCTACTGTAAATCTCAACTTTAATTCCCTTAAGTGTGTAAATCGTAGAATTCCAAAGCATTCCATCACAGGTGATGTCATTTAGTGATGAAAACACTTGGGATGGCTTCGAGAAGCACTGATCGACCGTTTCATCTCATTATGGGACTCATCAGCCTTGTGCACCCAGAGAAGCCAGCACGAATGAAATTATTCTGTGACTCTCGGTCTCATGCTTGAACGCATTGATCGATTCATGATTTTAATTAACTCTAAATATCTTCACAACACTATAATGACAATTATTATATGCCCACTAGTGACTAGCTTCGAGAGAAAATTCTCTGAATTCTAGTGTGAAGCCTTGACCATTCGAGTTCAACCATGTCGAGTATGAGGCAGTTACTTATTGAAGACAGTGTATAGGGACACGCTATATCGCGGATTCATTGAATTCAAACATATATACTGTTGGATGCCAGCTAAGTGGTCTCAAGGTTAAGCGTTCGCGCGCCAGACCGAAGGTCCTGCGTGCAGATGTTGCCGAAGCTCAATGCTGATAAGTCCCATACTATGAAGAAACGGCCGTCCCGTGCTTCTGTGTTGTTAATAGCAGTCTAAAATTCATCGATTCATGATTTCACGGAGACTCTCAAATTTATCTAACAGGTTTACGGATTAAAATTCAAGCCTGTCTGAACTTAAATTGTCTTAATAACACATTAAGTATCTTCGACCGAACGAACAACGCTTTGTTGCCTAAATACCTTTTATCTTGCTGACATTTAATACTACTGCTTTTCAAATATTCGTCTCAAAGAAAATATTCACTTTAATTTCAGATTTACTTGTATGGAGTAATGAACAAGTTATTGCATGGCTTAAAAGTATAGGTTTGAATGAATATGCCAAAAATTTGATTGATTCCGGTGTACATGGAGCTTTAATGGTGTTAGATCCAGATTTTGATGCGAATTCATTTGCTCTTATCCTTCAAATACCAAAGTCAGATGTACAAACGAGGTTGGTGATGATGTTTTTTTTTGTCTGAGTGAATAAAGTTTATCTCAGTGAAAACAACATTGACTGTTTGTGTTCAGCCCCACGCACTAACTCGAAGGAGTCAATGGACGATTAAACCAAATTAGTTATTTATATTCGAATGTTTTCAAACCAATCAGTTTTGTAACCTTAAACTGCGTAGGACATAATACAGAAGCACAGCCGGTCTAGGTCGTTATCTCTCATATCGTTCCAATTATGAGGGAAATGAAGAATACTTGCAACTAAGCAGTCAAGATACTGGATTGATTGATTGATGTTTTAAAAAAGGTAGATCGTGTTTTTAAACATCAAAAAAGCAAATATTTTTACACAACGAATTGATGTGAGTTCAATAATCATTGAAAAACGAAAAAAATTCGAACGAAATCTTATCCTAGTAAAGTAATCATTCTGAAATGGAACACAGAATCTATAGGCCTTCATAAATTCCTTAAACATTAGGATCACTGACTGTTAGATATATTTCTGATTTCAATCAACTCACAATAATAATAGAAAATCCATCCGTCGTTATCGATAATATTCACCTCAGTCTCCATGTGATTGTAACTTTAAAGAGACTCAGCATATTTTACAAACTTTTTTTTTACCGAAAACTCATCCTGTCCTGACTAATTTTGGTAAATAATTTCGAAGTTTTGGTAAGAAGCTGGAGTATAAACATGTCAGGCAACAGACAGAAAGCAAGTTCCACAACCAATCAAACTAAACTCGAGTTATAAATCGAAAATAAAATGGCAAATGTACAAATAATTGTAAAAAGATATGATAACATGAACAAAATCACTGTTGAAAAAGTAAGAAATATTACGTAAATGAACAGCTTAAATATACAAAGATCCAAGAAGACATAATAACTGAACAAAAAAAAATTCCAATCAAATGTAGAAGGAATTAGCAAGATCGTCTACTCCATTTTTTGTCTCTTCCATCAGAAAGAGTTCACTTGCTTGAAAACACTTTTAATCAGTCGAGATATATCAACAATAAACAACTGATATGAAATGTATGTGGAAAACTAAACCAGTCTAAACTTCATAATTTAGTTATGAAGCCTTCATTGCCCTTTCTAGACAATATCAAAAAATCTCTTTAAGAATAACTATTCTGTCAACAACAAATTCAATAGACTGCTGTTTATAATTATCATGTTTTCCTTGTGTTGTTGACATATTTGTTTTTTAGTGCTCTTAGATTATTTAACGTAATCTATGGTTTGATACTTTTATTTATAAAAGAATTTTCATTTCTAATACATATAATGTGAAAAGAATAGTTAAAATCAAAGATCATGTATAAAGCTGAACTGACTATAACATAATTTTGAATTACAGCCAACTTATTTCATTTGAAATGAAGTATTATTATGCTTCATTCAATGCTCCAATTAACTAAACATTAATTGAATATTTGGTTTGTTTTTTTAAAGTATATCAACTACAGTTGCATGAAGAGAATTCTTAAAAAAAAGAAATCTTATAAGCTGTTCACTTGTTTTCTCAGATAACTTCACTTTCATAGAATTTATACTTGATTCACAAAAGCATTGAAAATAATAAGGAATTTAGATACCAGAGTGGATAGTACATCAATTCAACTAGCCAGCTACTATTAAACATTTCTTGATTTCAATCACTTTAACTTTTCTATTGAAGCTAATAAGTTCAATGATTATTATTTTATAGTTAAGCCAGTCCATTTGCTGAAAAGTATGAATCATTTCATGTATGATGCATTAAGAATGAGTAAACTATTTACTCACGTCTATTTTTAATAATAGAACGTCGGTCCTTGGATCTTATTATTGTCAAGTGATATTCATTTTTTGCTGTGACTGCCTCTAACTCATAGCACAGTGTGTTCTTTGGTTCTCTTGTTTTTCCTTTGCCTTGCCAATTTGGTTAAGTCCTTAATAATAATTGAATGAATAGCTTACTCATACTTATATAAAACAAAAGAACCAGGAAATCAATTAACCGTTTTTTTTACAATTTCATATTTTATAGACATAAACTTGAACGTGAACTCAACAGACTTCTACATTCTTATCGACCAGTTAATCAGAACACTTCAATTAAATCTACCAATTCAATTATGAATTATGATACAGCAGCAAGTTGGATTGCTTCTGTGGAACGTCCAGAACCAGCATATTATGAAAACCAATTCGATGTAGAGGATGCATCAGGCGGTGAATCATTTTACAGACCAAGTAACCAACAACCACAACGACTTGCAGTTAGTAGAAATGTTGTACCTATTTCTGAAAGCTTAAATGGAGCACCACCAATTCCTACACGAACGCAAAGAAATACGGATAAGAGATATGCCATGTCACCTTCTCACATGACTGTTAATTCTCAAAACCAACCTTCCTTAAATACCGAACTCAACCGTAATGTTTCATATCGAAGTGCAGCTGTGTGTGATGATAACTATTCCTATCTGCACACTGAACCATCACACCTAGAAAGAAGACTGAAAAAACATTAATAAATGTAAGTTTTTCAATGAAATGATTTACTTCAGATTTTTGTCCTTTCTGTTCATCCCATTAAATACGTTGTCACTTACATTAAATTTAAAATGACTAAGATTTACAATCAAACAATGAGATTATGGTGAAAATTGCTGGATACAAATATCGTAACTTGACAAAGTTCAGTCAACTGATGAAGATTTAAAACTAATGAACGTCAACAGTTGTAAAACGTAATTTTAATTATAAACAGAATACTACTTTTAGTATAATTGGTTAATATTGACGATATCAAATTTCTAGTTATAGTATTTAAGGCCCACAATTAGTGAATACTTCCAAATTGTTAACACGAAATGAGATAAAATCACTAATTTAAAGTAACTAAAACCCAATCTTTATCAAAAACATACTTCCTTCAAACCTATATCATATCTTCCCTATTTAAATGATAACTTAAGAACAATCACCCGAAAAATATCTGAGCATTGTGGTTAGTTACAATAGTTTCTGGTCAGTAATCAGTTTGTGTGTTATATAGGCATGAAATTCTGTAACTCGACCTATACTCCATTGTTGATTACATTAATCAAACCGTATACTTATATTCTGTAAGTTCGCAACTCAGAAAGTTAAACTTCATTAATATTTCTAGGCAACAATGCAGTAGTTATATATTATATATACTACGAAAACCAACTGGTCGTCATCGCCAGATTTTATATCTAGTAATATGCATATTCTATCTAAACATTAGTTTTGATGTTCAATTTCAACTACTCATATATTTTAAAGTAGTGTGATTATAGTTTAATGTTTAAACAGTAAGTAACCATACTTTCAAGGTTTTTTCACCTAGTAAACTGCTAATCGTTTTGTGGTAGACAATCTACATACAATTACATCTGATCAATATATGTACATCGTATTAGACAAATTTATTTTCATAGTGAAATGATAAGTCTAACAGCTTTTAATATTTACCAGTCAGTCGCTACACACGGTATAATAATAATTATTACTATACAGTTGGAGAAATTTACTCTAATATACGTGAATATTTCTATGAAAATGTTAAACCAATCAAGGCAGTTTGAGTCAATAATCTCAATGAATGAAATGAAATAGATTACGTCATTACACATAATAGGCTAAAGTACAAGTTGATAGTAGTAAGAAAAATAAAATGCGATAACTAAAGTTTTATCAATAGTAGGTCGAATGTGGATAAATAGACTTAAAATAATCATTACAAAATATTAAAACCGTTACGTAATAGGAAGTGTGTACATAATTAGGTAGTGAAGAATATAAACGGGAAGCGGCGGGGAATTACCAACAAATACAGGATGTGAAAATAATGCTAATAATAACAAAATTGAAACTAAAAAATATTTTAATTCCTAAATCGCTAGTTACGCCATAGCCGGTCACGGAAGAGATAGAGGTGTCACGAATTTCTTCTGATCACATAAATTGGGGTTGAATGTACGAATTCCTATGGGTTCTGCTATGTGTAAGAGACGGGATCCAACTCCGTTGGGAAATGATGAAGGTATACGATAGATCATCCGAAAAGATCTAGACTTATCTACAATATGACCACTACCAACCAGGTGTGCTAAGATAGAACTGCGTATTATTTTTGACTGACATTTCGTAACCCATGCTGGAAGATGTTCACCGATTCGTTGGTTAAGTTGCCTGGTAGTATGCCCGATATAGTATCTCCTAAATATGTAAATGCACATAGTGGGGGTCAACTCAGATAAGTTATCCCTCGTTTGGGTGGACATCGCTGGTCGACTTGAGAAGATCAACGTAATATTGTGTAATGATTATTTTAAGTCTATTTATCCACGTTTGAGCTACTACTGATAAAACTTTTGTTATCGTATTTTATTTTCCTTACTACTATCAGTACACCTGTCTTCTTACTATCAACTTATACTTTTGCCTATTATGTGTAGTGACGTAATTAAAGAAATGCATTACACCGGTAAGCCTCAGTGATATTTACAAATATAGCTCTCCTCCTTTATGTCTTATATATTAAGTCGATAATCAACTATTGTAAAATAATTCGTTGAAATTTAAAAGAACTTTTTTATTATTCAATAAAGTATGTTTTGATTTGATTTGATCTCTTATTAGATATGAAGTTCAAATGATCAAAATATTTTTTGGCAACTGTGATTTAGATAAAATTATCATAAACTGTATTTTTAAATTCAATGAAAATTTATGCAACAATTGAACATTTATTTATGTTTCATCATTACACTTATTATTATTTGTCCCACATAAAAAAAATTAACAACAATCATAAACTATAATCATTCCTAATATCATGAAAATACTCTTCTATCTATGAGATGACATTCACAATGTAATCATGATTGTAATCTATCATTTGCTTTTTTTGTAATGATGTAAAACCATTGAACATTGAACGAATATTTGACTGTACAGAATATTAATTATCATGACAAATACTTATTTATCCGTCGAATACTTATGAATTAATTATGAAGCAACAAATTCAGTGCCCGTATGATGACACATATTTAAAACAACAACTTTCATAGAGTTTGACATACATTCTACTTTTAAATGTATGTTTTTAAACAAAATAACCTATGCATTATGATCATGTAAAATAATTCAGAATGATAAACACTTCTATAGCTGATAATTTTATTTTATTTTATTTTGCATTTTGAAAACTTCTGATTATCATGATGTAAAAAATTCAACAGACAACCATGTACTTTGATTATTCTAGTCGGAATTATCTCTGTTTGTTTTGTCTTTTATCAAAACCAGACTCGTTTATTGTCGACTGACCTTGTATTATTATTATTATTATTATTATTGTTATTATTATTGATCTAGTGAGGATACGATATTTGATGCAATGAAAATACTCTTTTTTTTTCTTAATTCTTCAAAAGTAACTTATTGTTCACGTGATTGATGACAATCTTTAATTGATGCTTTAACATGACAATTTTTTTTTCTTGCTTATTATTTGTTTATGTTTTGATATCAACAGAAAGGAGGAGGCATTTACAAATATTCAATTATAAGATTAAGATTCATACAGATCATTCCTATTGGCTTTAAATTTTTTTTTTTATAAATAACAATCATAAAAATGTATTCAAGAATGAAATGCATTTCAAGATATACATATTTGTTATTCTTTTTGATGAAATCAACATTTCAATGAACTAGTTTTTTGTATTCTTATCATAAATATAGTGAAAATATTTGCATTAATCTAGTCATTCATTAAATATAGTCGATATTTGTTTTTCAAAAAAAGATGATAATAAATAATACAAGAGAGAATATATATATATATTTATATATTATTCATTGTTTTAATGCATTGTATACAAACTGCTGGGTGATAATGATTTTGATATTATTGAAACTATGAAATAAACAATATATTAAATATAAATATATAAGTAGTAAATTTGTCGAATCTTAACTGAAGTTTGGACTGGGGAATAACTGTCTAGGTAGTTTAGATACGCGCGTTGCCCAGTTTTTTTATGTTTTGTACTTGATGTAACGCCAAACCACTGTACTAATGACACCCGAACGTTAGACCCCTCCGTTCAAAAATAAGAAGACGGAAGACGTTGGAGAACGCTTATTGTCAGAATCAAAAATATACAATCAAACATACGTATTTATACAATTATATAAATGTCGTTAAATATTTTGAACATGAATCAAATAGTTCATCATGAACATTAATCATATAGTTCATCATTAATGAAATAGTTTATCATGAACATTAATTAAATAGTTCATCAATCCACAATGTGCGTGGCTTTCTTCTCGATTGGCTATCCCAACAAGTTTAAAAACTAAAACAAGTGATTTTAGTAAATGACTGTTCTAATATTCATCATAAATATAAATATACATCATTACCTAAACATTATTACCAAATCTATTCCACTAATAACTGTTCAATTATTCAAATAAATGATATTTTATCCCCCTTGGATAGATTAGATTCGTCCGACAGATAATATTTGGTTGCTTTATAACACAGAGTGTTTCCTATTCTCGAAGAGTGTTTCAATTCACAATCAAAATGCACACTTCCAGTCAAAGCAAGCAACTCAATCAAAGTAGGAACAAATCAGTATGGCTGTCGCCATCACTAAGTATCAGCTTAAACATTATAAATGCAGTTCAAAAAGAAACACGGAAACTCAGTGAAGGCAAAAGAAATAGAAACTATGTTAAAATACAAATATTATCATCTCAGAATGAAATCGAACAGACTAAGAAAAATATACAACTGAAGGAATCAGTAAGAACAAATTACAAATGTATACATGGAGGGATTTTAGCAAACAATGCCTCCATAAAAATGGATCTTACAAATTTCAAGTTGTTGATGCTGATCAGCATTAGCACTATGAATTGAGAACAAACAAACAATATTTTAAGTTTCTATTCTTATATTTGGGTTACAAAAAAGCAAATATTTCACAGTATTTCAGTCAGCGTATTTGAATGTGAAAAGCAAACTTCGTATAAGTAGAAAAACAAACAACAAGCTTTTGGGCAACAATTTTGCTCATCAAAATGAAAATTAACTAACCGATATATATATATATATATATATATATATAAATCACATTGCATCATCTGAGTACTGATGAATAAGATAACTTTTATTGTTTTTCAATTTTAAAACTTTCATGCATCTTACTAGAATAGCTGGAGAAGAAAATTGATTTCTGAGATTTGCTATCAAATTTCTCAAAAAGTCAGATTTTTTTTGTTTGACAATAATATAACTCCACTACCTCGGCATCGCGTGTGAAACTTTTAGATCAATGAGAAACTTGATAGGTATGGTAAATGTAAGACATTTTCATCGTAGCAGTGAAAAAAAACACCACCAACAAACGTACTTTTAGAATGAAATTACTTCATTCTACTTCATGGTTCAATATCACCTGTAATCTGACTGCAGCTA